TTACTAAGTGATACTGGTAATTAGTGAATCCCGTTTAAGTCTCACATTAACACATTGACTCACGGGGATACCGCAATCGAGTTTGGAGGAGCCGACCATTCGGCATAACAATTGATTAATAATCGGCATTAAATAATAATTAATTAAACTTTAATTAATTCAAACATATTGGTGGAGATATTAAAATTTACCTGAGCTAATAATTCCTACAAAACAAAGGGACAGAAAGATGAGAATACAAAAAATTTTAATTGCAAAGGGCTTAGGGAGAAGATCCCTATCCTGGGACAGTGACACATCAGACATGTCACTGTAGAAAAGTGGTCAGGGCAAATTTTTTATTCATTATACAAAGTGCCTGTCCAAGTCTTCCTGCAGAGGGTGCTGCCTGCCCGCAATGGCTGTAGGCCCAGGCTCTAGAAATTGCTGGTTCATTCAGGGGAGTCTGTGCTGCTGAGCTGGGGTTTCAGTCCTGACCCAATACAAGCCTGTGACAGCATGGCCTCTGGATGGCATGGTGTCTGGTAGCTACGTCGAGTTACACCACAGTGCCAGGGTGTAGCTGGATGCCTTACTTTAATTCTTATGTAGAAACATGAAAACATGAAAGGTACCAGTGAGTGTTTCTGCTGAATATAGAGTCCATTTATGAAGGTGTTGTGTGGAAGAGCTTCCTTCCTGACAGAGCCACAGGTACCTTGGACAGCCAGCTCCATCCAGTGTACTTTGTTGTGCTGAATCCCCTGGGCCAGCAGATGGCACACTCGCTTAAAGTCAATACTGGCCAGGGAGTGCTCTGTGGGGACTGTGTTGCTAGGATGTGGCCCTCCACATGAACACTTCTGCCCAGACTCTATAGCTCCAAGACCACTGCCAGACAGGCCACAGAGCCAATAAAATGCACCCAGAATCAAACAGAAAAGGTAACCAATCAGCAGACTAAAAGAGGAGTAGCCAGACATAAACAGGCATCTATTGGAAGATGATGCACTGGGATGAGCCCTCCTCTGTTTGCAAAACAGTGATTAGAGCCCCAGGGATCATGATGGACCAGAAAGGCCCACCACAGATCATACATACCCATGATCGGAAAGGTCACCATAATTTGCTGACCCACAAACCCATTGGCCCACTGGGAAAATGTTGGCCAGTTCAGCCTTGGTTTTAAGAGAAAGTTTGAACACTTTGGAATTCTATGGATTTCTGCATTAATGACTCTATGACTCCACTGTACCTAACAACATGTAACCTTTCACATTGCTGTCTCTCATGTCTCTTTCTATAGGACTGTATAGATCAGTAATTCTCAGTCCTGTTCTGGGCACCCCCCCCCCTGCCAGAATGTTTTCATTCCAACTCACACTGATTTCAACCTGCCACATTCATTATTAGCCTATTAAGCAAGAGCCTTTTGTGAGGGACAACATCAAATGCCTTCTGGAAATCTAAGCAGATCACACTGTAGGCCTTTTTTGATCAATTTCTCTTGTAGCTTCCTCAAAGAACTCAAGTAAATTCGTTAAACAGGACCTACCTCTCCTAAATCCATGTTGGCTATCCCTCAGAATGTATTTGCATCCAGGTAATCTACCATTTTCACTTGGATTATAGCGTCCATTATTTTTCCAGTAATGCTAGTTAAACTGTTTGGCCTATAGTTTGCTGGATTACTTCTATTTGAATATGGGCATGCTTCCAATCAGAAGGTACCACACCCCCAGATGACAATTTCTGGAATATTAAAGTTAAAGGTTGGCTAATAATGTATGAATGTACTATTCTGAAGATTTGTGTGAGCCCACTTCTTAAGGCTGCAAGGAACGCATGAAGGGGAAGCAATCACCATACCATTACATTGGACCAAGTAGCTCCTCCTGATTTGCATTTTAATGTTTTACCTCATCCAGACTGTGTTCACATAAAAGATTGTTTGTAACAGCCAGACATTTAAGTGTCTGTATTAAAATACCTTCCTTGAATTTAATTGGTATTATGTCTGCTCCAATTGTAACTCCCTACTTGGGAGTTTTTGGTTCCTCTTCTATGCTGTCATCTGGCTTTCTTTCATTCATTTTTGTCTTATTGATTCAATCCATACAAACTCTATTTCATCTGAAATTATTTATTAACTACACTCTGTTGTGCTACATTTGGCAGCTTTGTTTAAGCTAAATGTGTACTGGGTACCATGATAGTCTGGTAGTGGTACAGACAATGGTAGTGCACACAGAGAAATAAAGGTACACACAGGGTACAATATTAAACCTCCTGGTACAAAACTGTTCCTTTCAGTTGATTGTATCTCAAAGGGTACAGGACAGGTCCTTTGTAATACCATGTTGTACCTTTAAAGGTACATGATTTGGGAAAGTACATATTTGTTCCCATGAACCTGTACCACGTAAAAATGAACCCAATTAACCAGATGTATCACCAAAAATGCTTGTAAATTGATATATTTCAGATGCACAATTGTGATAGAATGGCTAGTGAATTTGACCAATTTTTTCGAAATTGGCTGAGGTTCATGTTTGTAAAAGTAAATTTCCGCTGCTGACTAAGCTATTTCACGCAAAGCACGCAGCTGTTATACAGGATTATATTTTCTGTCTTTTCTGTGGCAGCGGAGCAGGATGAGTCTATTAGAGAGCTAGGGAGCTCCGCTTAAGAAGGCAGTGGTGGAATGCGTTTAAAAGACGAGGGGAAAAACAACTCTTAACTCAAACTCCTGATGCAAATGAGCTATATTTTTAAAATGCAATATGGAAAATATGATGCATGTTATTGGTGTTGTTGTCCATGTCTTTTTCCATTTCCAAGATATTTTAACGGGTACAGTCCCGCGAGCAC